AAAAAAAAAAAAAAAAAAGAAGCAACTTTACATAAACACTCATAAATGCTGTACACCAATTGATTATATTAACAAACGAAAGAATCGAGATGACATTCGAAATCGAAATCGAAGAGCAGTCGTTATGCTGACGAACTATATACAATTATTCCAACCAAAGAAGTTAGCATACGCATATGCTTCACTTCACATACCTTCTATAAAAAGTCTGCATAAACTCATCATCATAAATTACCCTCTGCATTCATCTCTCAATCTGCAGATACAAATCTCCTAACGCATTATACAGAGTCGATGCAGCAGGTGGACGAGGAAATAAACCGAGAAGAATATCCGAGGCACCTATCGACTGGCTACCATAGAATCTCGAATTCTCCCGAGCCCGTGTTGTGACCACACTCCCTTCTAGGGAGCACCCGATAAACGCACCTTCATTAGAAAAACAAAGCCAAAAAAAAAAAGAGTTAAAAAAAATATTTCTCTTCAATATAAAATAAGATGAAGAAGGAAATAGATTTTAATATTTAAAGATTAACCTTTACTGCAGCTATATGTATAACAAGAAGCAAAACCACTGGGACCCGCTCGTAAATCAGCCTCGGCCGTACGCCCTACGAGCCCTACAGCGGCACTCAGACCAGCTCCAACCGAGAAATGTGCGTCACTGCAGAAATTCTTCACTGCATCCTTTGTCCTCAACACGATTATGAAATCCGTTAACTCTCCTCCCGCCTGCACTAAAAGTCGAAAATAATAAGCTCCACCATAGATTTTACCAATATCAACAATTTTGCCATAAATAATGTTAAGTTAAACCTGAGCTCCCCAACCGACACCAAAGGAAGAAATGGCTGAGGGAGGAGACCATGATCCATCTTCCCTACGAGCAATCACTAGCCCAGTCCCGATATTATAGGTTACCATCATACCCACTTTCACGACTGTAATTATGGCAAGGCCTTTGGCATCCTTTAGAATGGCTTCAGGGATTTTCTTCTCCGGCCTCAACGAGCCAACCTAGTAATCAAACAAAATGCCAGAAAAAAAAA